ATTTATGAATAAGATTTTGTGAAATTATACATGTTTTCATTTTACCAAAGAGCGACACTTCTGAATCACATGGCAACTCTATGTTTAATCATCTTAGGAACACGAGACTGTTTTTTGAAGTGGGTACAGATTTTACGCACTCATCAGCATTCTACGGGAATTCCACTTTTTCCACATCCTCACCAATTATTTATTTCTTGTCTTTTTAGTTACAGCATATAGTGAGTGTGAAATGGTATCTCATTGGGGATTTGGTTTGCACTTCTCTGCTGACAGAGGATATAGAGTACCTTTTCATTGCTTGCTGGCTATTTGTATATCTTCCATGGTTATTTGAATTCTTGACTCATTTTTTAGTTATTTGTCTTTTCATTATTGAATGAGTGTTTGTATACACAATAGAAAAGTCTCTTATCAGGAATAAGCTTTGCAAATATCTTCTCCCACTTTTTCATATGATGGTATCTTTTGAGACATGAATGATTTTAATTTTAATGATGTATTATTTGAAAATTTTTTCTTTTGCTGACTATTCCTTGGTGCAATATCTAAAAAGCCATTGGCTTTAATCAGTGGACAGGAAGGCTGAAAATAATATTGTCCTTTAAGATTTTTATGGCTTCATTTTTTATATTCATTCAGTTCATTGCTCTATTTTAATTTTTATATATGGTGTGAGGTAGGAACCTGACTTTACACTTTTGCACAGGGATACATAGCTTTCCTGGCACAATTTGTGGAGAGGGCTACGTTTTTACATTGAAATTCCTTGTCGCTTCTGTCAAAATTCAATTACCTGTAAAAGTGAAGGTTTATTTCTAGACTATAAGTTCTATTTCAGTAATCTATATGTCTTGCATTACACTAGTATTACATTATCTTGGTTGCTACAATATTAAAGTAAAATTTGAAATTGAGGAAGGTGAGTCTGAATTCTATGTGTGTGCATGTGTGTGTGTGTATATGTATATGTGTATATATATATATACACACAATACATATGTCTGTATGTATGTATATATACACACATATATATACACACATATATATTCATGTGTGTTTTTGATGTGTGTATATATGTATACATACATATACACATATATTTTGTGTATATGTATATCTATATTTTTTAATTTTTTTTTTTAGTTTTTTTTTGCAATAGGGTGTTGCCAGAGAGAGAAGGAAGCTGATAGATGACCTCCCCCCTCCAGGATGAACGGACATGCCACAATCTTTTCTCCTCCATTCTCCTCCCAGGATTTTTGGCACATGTTCCCAGTGTGATTTTCAAACCACCAAGTCTAGGACTTGAACTGTGGATGGCCACATAGGAATCCAGAACCTTAACCCATCCTACACCTGTGTTATATTTTTAAAATGTTGAGTCTTTTACAAATTCTAGGTAGGAGGGGTTATTTTTTATACATATAGTTTACAAGTGTTTTCTCTAAATTTGTAGCTTGTCTTAACATTTTCATTTTTTAATTTTTTATTTTACATTCATTCACTGAACATCAGCACAGTGTACAATATGTGATTTCCCATCCAGAACACACTGTATAGTAGCTTAATCATACATGTTACCGTCAACAAATAATTTTCTATTTCTACAATCCCTGCCCCATTTTTCACCTTCTGTCATTTCCCACCCTCTTCCCACACTGTCTCTGGTATCTGCAGTTGTTTTCCATTCCTTCCCCCACACACATTGTATTGATTCACAAAATATCTTATTAATCTAACTACTTTCAATAGCAAGTTCAGTTGATATAAATATATTTGTGAACATGTTTGACTTTAGGCATGAAACTGAGTAAATTGAATATACTACAAAGCATCTAGCTGAGGCTATATAGCTTACTGTGGTCATTAAATAGGTATTTTTTAATGTAATTTTTTTTCATTTCAAGAAAGGCGGTTTTAGCTTTAAAAAATCAAAATAAAAAATGTTAAGAGAACCTTGCTTGAGAGGCTATTCAATAGAGCAAGATTTTTAAAATTTTGATTAGCAAAAATTGATCGATTTGTTTCTTTTATGAACAGGTCTTATCTTCCAAAGATTTTTTTACTGTTATTTTTAAAGTTTGTTTATATTTTATATTATGGTCTATGATTCATTTAAATTTTTGTGAATATTTAAGGGTTAAATCATCATTTGTTGAAGACCATCTTCCTTTTTATTGAATTGCTTTTACAGCTTTCACAAAAATTGGTGGATGGGAACCCCAGACTGAGGAAGTAACCGCTTGAGCTAAAGCTGACCCCAAAAGAATGTTTCAGAAGAAAATTACAATGGACTTGTAACTAGATTCCAGCTTTGTACATATTTTTAGTTGAAGGTATTTTGTGAATCAATAAAACATGGGAAAAAAAATTCAGTATTGAAGGGAGAGAAGGGGAAGGAAAAAACAAGTAAAAGTATGTTTAATTGACAAAAAAAAAAAACCAGGCTATTTGCTGATAAGTTATAGAGTAATATCTTTGGCTTGACTGACATGCATAGTATTTGTGCTGGAAAAAGAAATGTACACTGTAAAGATGTGATTCAATGTAAATAAATGAATTTTTTTTAAATTGGCTAGCCACACCTGTGTGGAGCTATATCTGATTTCTCTATTAGGTTATACTGGCCTATGTGCTTATCTCTTCTCCAATACTACCTAATCTTGATTATAGTAGCTATATAATATGCCTTGAGATTTGGTAGAACAATTTCTATCACAACATTCTCATAATTTGAAATTATTTTAGATATTAGAAGATTCCCACATAAGTTTTAGAATAATTTTGTCTACATCTACCAAAAACTTTTCTGGAATTTTAATTGGAATTTTTGTATAATAACCTGCATATTAACTTGGAGGGAATTGACATATCTATTGTGTTAATTCTTCAAACCCATGAACATGCACTAGCTTTCAATTTATTTACCTCTTATTGCTTTCTTTTACCAACATTTGTGTGTTTAAGCATTCATAATCCTATACATCTTAAGCAATGTAAATAGTACTATGTTTTTTATTTTGATGTCCATGTCTCCATTACTAAATACAGAAATATAATTAATTTTGATAGATTGACCTTATATCCTGAAACTTTGTGGGACTCACTTATTAGTTCTAGCAGTACTTTGTTTGTTTGTTTGATTTCTTGGGATTTTCTACATAGACCACCCTGTCATCTACAAATAAAAGGTTGGCTTTTTGTTCTTTCTGGTCAGAATGCCCTTATTTTCTTTTTTTTGCTTTATTGCACTGTTAGATATTTTGATACTATGTTGAATACCAGTAATGAGAGGAAACATTCATGCCTTCTTCCTTATCTTAGGTGGAAGCATTCAGTCTTTCATTCATAAGAAGGATGTTAGCTATAAGTAGATTTTGGTTTTTGTTTATTTGTTTGTTTGTTTAAATATGCGTTTTCCAAATTGAGGAAGTTCTCCTCTATTCCTAGGTTTCTGAGAGTGTTTATTATAAACAAATTTTGAATTTTGTTTCTACATCAGTTATACATGTGCACACATGCCCATGATCTAGGCTAGATGAGAAGGGAGGGTTGGATTGCAATGTGATGACCCTGTCAGGAGTGCCTATCTCTTTCTCTCTCTTTTGGAAGAAACAAATACATAAAATTGTTAAAAAATGAGATTCTTTGAGGTAGAATTTTAGTTCAGTCTTTCAATACTGTATATCAGAGTTACTTGAATCTAGAACTATCTGAAGAAAAATGATCCTTTAAGTAAAAATTTTACATAACGCTCGGATATCCTCTTCTTAATGCAATATGGTTAAGTTTGTATTTTTGTTCTAGTTTATATTTGTCTTTTATTGGGGAGAGCAGTTTTTAATGGATGCCAAGAGTTACATCTGAAACACATTTTCTCTTCAATTTATTATGTTCACACTGAAACTGTTGAAAATTGTTTATAACTAGATCGCAGTTTATGCTCTTGGGAAACTTTTCTCATCTATTTCTAACAGAATACATGATTATCAAAAATTAATATAACCATTGAACTGATTTCTCAAAGTAAGTTTGCTGTTCATTTACTTTTGCTATTTTCACTTAATAGTATTTTCAGAAAAGGTCAAAACATTAGCTGAAGACACCTGATTTAAGTATGGAATTCTTCTTTTGCTTGAGGTAGGATATACAAACCCAAGTTCAAATCTGTGTTCACATAGGTCAACCATCAATACTTGTAATGTAGATAATAAAAATGTTTAAAATTATGAAAAGCCATTGTACTTTTGAGTGAAGAGAGAAAATTGGAATAAGAAGTTCAGAGGCAAGTATGTCATAATTTCCATTTCTATCTATGTGTAAATTACTCTTGCAATTCTATCTTCTATGGAATTGGGGGCGGAACTGCTCTGGGTTTAATGTCATTTATTGATATTAATTCATCAATAATTCTTTGACAAATACTCAGTTTACTTCCCTGTCTTCTTTGAGCTTCCACCCTTCACTTTGCTGACATTTCATATTAAATACAAAATGAGCCTTTCTAATATGCACAGGACCACTTACATAGCTCTATATTTCATGTTGATACTAAAACTTGTCCAGGAACAGTCCTAAAGGAATCTTTTCCATGAAACGCAAACACATACAGAGAAAGTCCTGGGAAATAAAGTCTTCAATTCCACTAGGAGAGTATCTCCCCAATTAGTTTCTAGCAGAAAGAGCAATTATTTTTTCTTTTTTAAAACTTTTTTTTCTTTCAGTTCTTGTTTTGTTATAGGGCACATGCACTTGCCAGGAGAGAAAGAGAAGAAAGGGAGAAATCACCCTGGGAGGGATGCCCACACTACAATTTTTTTCTCCTCCATTCTCAAGATTTTGGGGCAAGCTCACACAAGCATCCCGTGTTTTTTTTCACACTGAGTCTGGGACTCAAAGCATGACGTTAGCTATGTGGGATCCACCAGTGGCCTTAACTATCATGCCCCCAGCCAGCCCAAGAGAGCAATTCGTTATCTTCAACGCTAACAACTCACCTGATCACAAAGGAGGCTTCTGTTTCTAGTGCCAACTTTATCACAATCACAGGGTTTGCAAACATCTATGGCTGAAGGATCTGCACCAACTAGTCGGAAAAAGTAATCCTTGCACAGCTCACAGTTCCTTCCTGCATCAGGGAAAGGTTATGCATTATGACTTCTAATTCATTAAAATCAGCTGCATAATTCAAAATTAAAGACTGTATTCCTTTGAGGGAATTCTATAATTTTCAGGACGTCCATTTTAATGCACCTTTCATCTCTACCTGCCAATTTAGTGATCCAGAGCATATGAAACAATGAACCTGTTACAAACTGTGCTTTACTTCATTAAACTCCCATCTGTTATGTAATACCACACTTCTAAAAAGCTGTGCTTGGTAGGGGCCCATACATTTTAAAAGAGTTTGTTCCTAAGCTTAAAACTTTATTTCTAGGGCCAGGGACTTATTCTAAATGAGATATGAGAAATTTCTACATGTGTGGTAGATGATACTTTACAGTCGGAAGCAAATAGATATGTAGTAATAGAACTATTCTTCCGGGACTAAATCCTATAAAATGAGATACTGCTTATAAGAGTTCATAATTCTGCAGTTCCAATAATTAAATGAAAATGCTTCTTCTAGTGGCCATTACTTATTTCAAATGTCAAAATAGAAATCATTGTGTTGAAATATACCAAATGCATTCATATTATTGCAATAGCCTGACATATTAAATATATCGGGTAATCCTTATGGATTATAATTTATTATCTGGGAATTTTTCTTTGCCATTTTATACAAGAAAAATAAATCCAAACTACAAGGATTTTTCTAAAGTAAATTGGAGTATTATGTAAGACCACTACAATAAGTTAAAATAAAACTCCAGTTTATAAATTTCCTCTTTAAACGCTTTTCAAATATTGCTGAAATTGGTCTAATCTTAAAAGACTACAGAAATAAGTGAAAATCCACGTCCTGATGGATATTGGCTATGGACTAATTAAAAGTTAAATGGATTTAGACTATTTCTAAAATATTTCCATTTACTTACGATGATGACTCCCAAATCTATATCTCCAATCTATAAATGCCTGTTTATTTATCATTCAATGAATATTTATTGAGTGATGACCATGTTCTAAACCCTGCGCTAGCACTGAGGAATACAGTAGTGAGCAGAATACACAGTACATTGCATCTCTCACAGAACTTTCCTACAGGGAAAAAGGCAAGGATCTTAAAGAATAACAGGAATAAATAAACATTTACCAATGGTGGCAAGTCTAAGGTGCCACTGAAGTACATAGATGATTCTATTCTTAGGTATCACCAAAGGGCTTACTTGAAGAAAGGAGCTTCAGAACTTTTTCCAGCTGCCCGCAAGAAAGTTTCTCCTATGCTTTTAGATGCACACGATAGACATGTCCAAATGAGCACTTGCCTTCCTCCCTTGGTTTGATCCTCCTGTGCTTCCTATCTCAACAGCTGGAGTCAATGTTGACTTTATTGTTCAAGTTGGAACTTGAGGTCTTGACTCTTCCTCTCCTTATCTACGCCCTTCTTGCTCACACAATGCTATCACTCTTACATCTAAACTATGTCTTGTAATATCTGCGTAAGCCATGATGAAGTTTGATTTCTAGCCTAAGGTCAATGAGTGTCACTTAATGGTTTTATACAAGAAAGAGGCATCATCAATCTCATGTTTTTAAAATAGTCAACTGATCGTAAAGTGAAGAATGGACATCTTCCTTTTTATTCATTGACCACCTTCCTCATTGTGTCAAGTCTGTCTGTGCTAAGTTGTTCTGGCTGCATATTTGGAGTCTCTCAAACAGCAGCAGTGATTAACTATTTATTTTACATTGCCATTTACATTTCATTTGAATTTCATGTCTCTCTGTCCACAGTACGTTAAATGTATTCAACATTATTTCTCACCTAGGCTACTGCAGCAACCTATTATCCAGTTTTCTCAAACCACTTCAGAACCTTTCAAAACCATTCCCCACTTTACAGGTAAATAGATCCTTTTAAAACACAAAACTTACTGTCTCTGTTTTGTATGAAACCCTGAAGTGATATCTCATTGACTTCAGGGTAAAAGCCAAACTTTATCAACTTAGAGAGCCATCTGTAATCTGGCCCCTGACATTCTTCTTAACATCTTTTCTTACCACCAGTAATTTGACCTTCTATTAGTTCTTCCAAGGTGCCTTGTTTTTTTCTCTCCTATAGGTTTTTTTGGGTTTGGGGTATATTTTAGGTTTTTGTTATAGGGCACTTTTGCTCACCAGAGAGAGACATTGAGAGGGGAAAGGGAGAAATCACCTCCCCAATCCATGGATGGATGTGCCACAATCTCTTCTTCTCCATCTTCCTCCTGGGATTTTGAGTATGCACACATGTCCAGCATGACTTTCAAGCTACCAGGTCCAGGACTTGAACCATGGTCAGCCATGTGGGAGTCCAGCATCTTAACCACCATGCTACTGGCTGGCCCTTCCTCTAGGCCTTTCAATAAGCAGTTTCTCTTACTGGAAACCTTAGTTCACAATCTCCTCTCCATTCTGTTCCCTCTCATTCCTCCCTCTCATCAACTCCTCCTGTACTTGCCCTACCTTTCACTTGTAATCATTCCTTGAATAGTCTGTCTTTCCCACTATAGCGTGATCCAAAGACAGAAAATTCATTATCCTGTTCATCTTCATATCCCCAGCACCAAGCCAAGTTCTTGGAACATTTTAGGTCATCAATAATTATCTAGAAAATTCATTCAAGCTTCAGATAGCACTTTTAAAGCCATCAGACTTGTCATTATATTTTACGAATCCAGATGTTGCCTCTTTCTGCTTTTAACATACTGGCCTTTCAGAAAATAGTACTTTTCAATGACTAGTCAAAATGCTTTGTGGTTTTAAAACAAGGCTTCGATTATCATCTTCTACATTTCATTAGCATTTTAAGTAAGAGTATTCCCAGATTGCCAGGGTCCATGCCAAATTAGAATGGATGCAAACATCTCCACATGAGAATCCAGACATAGTGGACAAGAAGGGAAGCATGAGAATTTCAAGGATATACGAATATATATATAAATATATATATAAATATATATATACACACACAGAAACACACACAATATACACACGCAAACATAAATACATATATGTACAAACATATATGCATACATACATATATACACACATATACATACATATATATCTAATACGTACACACTAAGCACTCCTGATTTAACAACATGGAAACACATTCTTAAATAAGATAACGATAACACATTTTCAAATAGTATGCATTGTATAATAGACAGAAGCACATAGGCTTCAGAGGTCAAGTCAGTAATTTATTATTTGCTAGTTACCTGTAGTGTTATGTTCACAATTATCACAAACTCCTCCTCCCCCTCTTCCATGCTCCAAAGGAAACGGGTCTACAGAGATGTTGTAGTGGCAACTTCTGGAATGGCTGTGGCATTGACATGGTTTACAATTGAAAGCATGAACTTGATCACCCTGGCGGAAAGGCTTGTCATTATAAAGAGGCAAGCAGCGATCACACTAGAAAAATAAAGGGATAACAGAACAATAAAGAAATCAAAGGCTGCAGTTTCCTTTCCCCTTATTTATACATCAGGTACTTTTACTAAATACAAAGCTAATTCATGAGTTAAAAGTCAGTAACACTTTTGTTTTGAAAAATGTTTTATATATCAGAGAAAAACATATTACAGTTATGAAAGGGTCAAGCTCATAAAAGCGGCCATGCAAGCTGAGCCATACAAAGTGATTTTAATTATCTATAAGAAAAATTATGGTTGTTTCAGGACCTTTATAGACTTTAAAAATTTCAAAAATACTAAAAACTTCCTACTGCTAGTTATAAAATAAAGGGAAATAAATACTAAAACTAAAATTTATTTAGTAGTCTGATATAAAACATTACAAATTTGAAACTATTTCTTAATTAAAAAAAAAAAAGGCAAGAGGACTTTGGACAGTACTTTCCTTCACCTCATCCTGTAACTTGGCATATTCAATGAGAATCTTCTTTAATGCCGTGCCCAATTGTCACACTCCCTTCTAACTTTCGATCAGCTTCCAACGTTTTAACCTATATGTTTTTTAGTGTTGTGAAGTTTTTTCTGAGATCACTTTCTCCGGGACATTCTCATCCTATTTGTCACAACCACCTTCCTCATTTATGTCAAGTTCATTGTAAATTTTGTTTGTTTGAGAAGTTTTTGCTATAGGGTGCATGCGCTTGCCAGAAAGACAGAGAGAAAGAGAGAGAGAGAGACAGAAAGCGAGAAATCATCCCCCAGGGGGGATGGCTACACCACAATCCCTTCCCCTCTATTCTCCTCTTGGGATCTTGGACACTCATGCACATGCGCCTGGGCGTGAGTTGAAGCCACCGGGTATGGGACTCGAACCTCAGTCAACTACATGGGAGTCCAGCAACATAGCCATTATGCCAACTGCTTGTCCCTGTTATAAGTTCTTCCTACCTGCATAGTCTCTCTTAAACAGCAGTAATGATGATCTCTTCCAGAGCCCTGGTTACGTTTCATTGGAATTTCACTTCCAGTTTTGTCTTTCTATGTAGCACTTTCATCTTTATTAGACTTCTTCTCTTTTTTCTGAGTATCTGTGTTTTTTAGGTGTCATGTGAACTTATCACTGATGAGGAAGCAACACCACCATATCTTCCCTGTTTGTGAATAAACTCAATAATGAATGTGCAGTGGCCAATCACTGACAGACTCTGAAAGAGGAGCCATGATAGTCACTGACCATGCTGTGCATTGGTTATTGACATGCTGGTTGGTAGACTGAAGAGTCAGCAGAGACAGAAAATTAAGTATCCCACATTGCATAGTCCCACATCCTTCAATAGGAATTTTACTCCATTTTTTCTTCATATTTTTCATCAAATAACACTTGACCATTCTGCAATTATTATACATTTAGTTCATTCTAATTTTACTGGAGAGGGCATGGATATAACTGACTATTTTCTTTAAAAAAATATCAGGACCAGCAATTGATGTAATGGCTAGGTCACTGGACTCCCATGTAATCAACCATGGTTTGAGTCCCAGACCTGGTAGCTTAAATTCACGCCAGGCGTGTGTGCATGCATGCCCAAGACCCTGAGAGTAAAATGGAGGAGAAGGGATTATGGCATGCCATCCCCCCGGGGGTGATTTCTCACTTTCTGTCTCTCTGTCTCTTTCTGGTGAGCACACATGCCCTATAGCAAAAACCTCATTTATACTCTTACAAGCAATATTTGAGAATGTTGATGTGCATGTGTGTGTGTGTGTGTGTGTGTTCTGCCCATATAAAACTGTGATTGTTATCCTGTGACTACTTTGATTTTTTTTAAAAGTTTTCATCACTGTTTTAGTGTGTGTGTCTTTGGTTGCTAGTAAAACCAAATATTCTTCCTCTAGTTTTTCATGTAGTCCTTTCTGGAGAACATTTTTACTTTATCTTGCATATTTATTTTTCTTATTGATTTAAAAGACATTAGAATTTTCCTTTTGCCTATAAAACAGTAAATATTTAGATAAAAATTTTCAGTATATATATTTTTTCTAATACTTTGTTAAATATAATTTTCAACATAATATTTTACTTATATAGTAGAGGGGTGATGGTAGGTATATTTGTCTTTTTCTGATTTTAGTGAAAATGTCTTTATTTGTACAATTTTTAAACAATATTGATTTCACACAATTTTTATCATTTTCAGGAACTACTTTCAAACAAAGCTAAATGCATTTAAGAAAAATATTTTGTTAATTTTATTTTTGAAAGTTTTTACTTAGTTATTTGAGCTATTGAACTGATAAAATCTATAATAGGTCAATTGGAATCTGTGATTGCATTCTTAGAATAAACTCAACATCACTAATGGTAAATAGTATGCTAAGCAAAAATCATTTAGTAGCTGTACATTTATAAGATAAATAAGATTTCTGTTTTCATAAACTTATTAAGACAAATAAATCTTAAAATTTTAATAAGTGAGGCCAGCAGGTGGCACAATGGTTAAGGCACTGGACTCCCCACATGGTTGATCACGATTTGAGTCCCAGACCCTGTGGCTTGAAACCACGCCAGGTACATATGTTTTTCATGCACAAAATCCCCAAAGGAAAACTGAGGAGAAAGGATTGTGGTGTGACCATGCCCCGGGGGTAGGGGGTGATTTCTCACTTTCTGTCTTTCCGATGAGCACATGTGTCCTATAGCAAAAATATCTAAAAATAATAAGAAGTAATTAGTATGTATTTGTATTTATAAAGTTAATTTTAATATCTGAATGATTTTTGGGGGGAGGTTTTTGCTCTTGGGTATCTGAATGAATTTTTTTAAACCACATTTTGAATACCCACTAAAACTTATTACATTTTGTCAAATTATTGGGTCATTGGAAAAGTTATATTTTTCTATGCAAAAATGAGTCATGACTTTTCTGATGACCCAACATATTTTATATAGAGTATGGTTAAGTTTAAAATAAATATACACCAGATTTTTGAAAATTATTTTTCTTATACTTCATTGGCTGTGAAATACTTACTGTGACCTTTCTAACATACCCAACATATGCCAGAGTTGCATATTACATAGAAGTCAGGACAGTCCTACCATGTAAACTAATGTTTCCCTATCTATGCATAACAATTATTCTCTGCTTTGTTTCCTTTACTGACATTATTAAAAACTATTTTAATATTAAAACAAATGTAATTTTCTTGTTCCAGTTTTTGTAATACATATTTCATATTTTAGAACAATTTAATGTACTTCATAATCATTATGGGAACAAATTATAGTCAAAAGCATTTTTTTGCTGTTTCCATTTTCCTACTGTTTCACTGGACAGAAGGAAATAAAATAATTTCTTTACAATTTTTAAAAGGAGAAGGAAAAAATTAAGAATTTAATTTTCTAGTATGTTGTCATTTAATGGTACTCTGAAATTTTTACATAGAAACAAAGTGACTTTTTAAAAAATTTAGCTGAGGAATAAAAAAAGTGACGAGAATAAGAATGTAAACATTAGGTCACAATTTTCACATGAGGTGATGCTGCATTCTAATAATTTGTAAAAGAAAACGTTCCTTTATCCTGTGTACAATTAAAAAAAAATCTATAGAAATATCCTTTTGTGAGTAAAGGTTCTTTTTCTCTAAAGCTATTTCTAATCCTCTGGGCTAGAATAGCTGCCTCTCCTCTTCGCCCACAGCACTATATTAATACCTTGATCTTGCTGTTATTAGTCTGAACTGAAATGTTTGGTTTACTTCCATGAATCTTCCAACATTTGCAATTTATTGCTTCTCATACTCACTGTGTCCTACACACAGTAGGAGCATAATAGATAACCATTAAGTTGTTAAATGGAGATTCACATGTAACCATGATCATTAACATCAAAGAAAATCATTCTTGAGGAAATTTAGAGAGCAGACCCAATGTGAACAACTCACAAATGAAGTAATGTTTATGTCATGTCTTCATGATTGGCCGTTAGGAGAGGATCTGCCAAAACTCCGTGAAAGTATAAAAGAAAATATTTCATAAAAGAAAATATTTCATACTGTGGCAATCAGTAGACTATGGTTAAGGTCAGGTCTTTGGCCAAAATATTTAAAGGTGAAGAATTTATCTCTTTAAGTTTTCCTTTACCAGTAATTGCCATATGTAAACCAAATTTATTTCATAGAATCAGAAGTTAGATGCATAAAGTACAAGTCAGACAGCTTAGTTCAATTACTGGCGCTGCACTTACTAACTGTAAAAAGAACTCCATGAAAAGTAATGAGAAACAAATCCTATCAACATTCTGGGAACTATATTGAACATTTAAAATGGGGTATTGCATTGAATCCTCTAGGCCTTGGGACATACAGTATCCCACACATTTGATTTCTGTTTCTTGATTTCCAAGTCCTGTATTCATGTATTATTACCCACGCCTCTTTAAGCTTTATTTTTCCATAACATGGAAGTAATAATACCTGCCTCATTATTGTTGTAGAGACCAAGCACTTACTACAGTACGTGCCACACAGGTAGCCCTTATTAACATTGACTAATATGTTGTCGTTGGATTAACAAGTAAATTTAAGGGGTAAGTAACATGAACAATATCATCGAACAATTACTCCTTGAGTCATTTTACTTCTATAAATCTGTTTTTCATCTCTAAAAGCAAAATAACTCAATTTCTACTTATTATTAATTCAAAATAACTTTAAGATAAGCAGTAATACTTAACTAATGCCCAAAACAAAGCCCAACAGATATGATGCATTCAAGATATAGAAGTTACAAAACAGCGGAGGAGAAAGAAGACATGGGGAGGGGATAAAACATTCAAGCAGGTGTTGATCTCAAGTTCAAGTGGTACCAGTAGTATGTAAGGCTGTCTCAATGTAATATATTGTCTATAACAATTTACAGGGGGTCCTTGTCATAAATGTGGTCTATCATCTGCTTTAGAGGACATGGCCTTTAGAACAGAGCAAGGGGCTAGTAGG